TCGTCACCAGCATGACACCATGATCTCCATCATCTTGATCTATATCAATGTGTCGTCACATGGTCGTCTCGCCAACTATTGCTCTTGCAACTATTGCTATCGCATAGCGATAAAGTAAAGCAATTATTTGGCGCTTGCATCTTATGCAATAAAGAGACAACCATAAGGCTTCTGCCAGTTGCCGATAACTTCAACAAAACATGATCATCTTATACAACAACTTATATCTCATCACATCTTGACCATATCACATCACAACATGCCCTGCAAAAACAAGTTAGACGTCCTCTACTTTGTTGTTGCAAGTTTTACGTGGCTGCTACGGGCTGAGCAAGAACCGTTCTTACCTACGCATCAAAACCACAACGATAGTTTGTCAAGTTAGTGTTGTTTTAACCTTCTCAAGGACCGAGCGTAGCCACACTCGGTTCAACTAAAGTTGGATAAACTGACACCCGCTAGTCACCTGTGTGCATAGCACGGCAGTAAAACCAGTCTCGCGTAAGCGTACGCGTAATGTCGGTCCGGGCCGCTTCATCCAACAATACCACCGAACCAAAGTGTGACATGCTGGTAAGCAGTATGACTTATATCGCTCACAACTCACTTGTGTTCTACTCGTGCATATTACATCAACGCATAAAACCTGGCTCGGATGCCATTGTTGGGGAACGTAGTAATTTCAAAAATTTCCTACGCACATGCAAGATCATGGTGATGCATAGCAACGAGAGAGGAGAGTGTTGTCTACGTACCCTTGTAGACCGACAACGGAAGCATTAGCACAACACGGTTGATGTAGTCGTACGTCCTCACGATCCGACCGATCAAGTACCGAACACACGGTACCTCCGAGTTTTGCACACGTTCAACTCGATGACGTCCCTCGAACTCCGATCCAGCCGAGTGTTGAGGGAGAGTTTCGTCAGCACGACGGCGTGGTGATGATGATGATGTTCTACCGACGCAGGGCTTCGCCTAAGCACCGCTACGATATGATCGAGGTGGATTATGGTGGAGGGGGGCACCACACACGGCTAAGAGATCAAGAGATCAATTGTTGCTTTGGGGTGCCCCTGCCCCCATATATAAAGGAGTGGAGGGGGGCGGCCCTCTCTATGGCGCGCCCTGGGGGAGTCCTACTCCCACCGGGAGTAGGATTCCCTCTTTCCTAGTAGAACTAGGAGCCCTTCCAAGTACTAGGAGTAGGAGGGAAGGAAAGGGAAGGGAAAAGGAGAAGGAAGGAAGGGGGCTCCCCCCTCCCTAGTCCAATTCGGACCAGCCCATGGGGAGGGGTGCGGGCACCCTTTGAGGCCTTTCTCTCCTTTCCCGTATGGCCCATTAAGGCCCAATACGAATTCCCGTAACTCCCCGGTACTCCCGAAAATACCCGAATCATTCGGAACCTTTCCGATGTCCGAATATAGTCATCCAATATATCGATCTTTATGTCTTGACCATTTCGAGACTCCTCGTCATGTCCCCGATCTCATCCGGGACTCCGAACTCCTTCGGTACATCAAAACACATAAACTCATAATATAACCGTCATCAAACTTTAAGCGTGCGGACCCTACGGGTTCGAGAACTATGTAGACATGACCAAGACACGTCTCCGGTCAATAACCAATAGCGAAACCTGGATGCTCATATTGGCTCCTACATATTCTACGAAGATCTTTATCGGTCAAACCATATAACAACATACGTTGTTCCCTTTGTCATCGGTATGTTACTTGCCCGAGATTCGATCGTCGGTATCTCAATACCTAGTTCAATCTCGTTACCGGTAAGTCTCTTTACTCGTTCCGTAACACATCATCCCACAACTAACTCATTAGTTGCAATGCTTGCAAGGCTTATAGTGATGTGCATTACCGAGTGGGCCTAGAGATACCTCTCCGACAATTGGAGTGACAAATCCTAATCTCAAAATACGCCAACCGAACAAGTACCTTCGGAGACACCTGTAGAGCACCTTTATAATCACCCAGTTACGTTGTGACATTTGGTAGCACACAAAGTGTTCCTCCGGTAAACGGGAGTTGCATAATCTCATAGTCATAGGAACATGTATAAGTCATGAAGAAAGCAATAGCAACAAACTAAATGATCAAGTGCTATGCTAAAGGAATGGGTCAAGTCAATCACATCATTCTCTAATGATGTGACCCCGTTAATCAAATGACAACCCATGTCTATGGCTAGGAAACTTAACCATCTTTGATTCAACGAGCTAGTCAAGTAGAGCCATACTAGTGACACTCTGTTTGTCTATGTATTCACACATGTGTTATGTTTCCGGCTAATACAATTCTAGCATGAATAATAAACATTTATCATGATATAAGGAAATAAATAACAACTTTATTATTGCCTCTAGGGCATATTTCCTTCAATTACAACTAGAAATGGATACTTGAGATATGTGGCCCCGGGATTGCTTTCTCGCAGGGAGTCGAGGAAGGATCTTTGGGCATTAATACCACAACATGCTTGTTATTTATAAATTGCTATTCTTTACTCTTCTACTTGCTGCAAGATGCTTGGAGCTGCTTGAAGATGCTAGTCTTCGATAGACTAGGCCTTCCCCTCTATTCTGGCATTTTGCAGTTCAGTCCACAGATACAACCCTTCCATTTGATACCAATGCATACTTAGTATAGATCTGATGCTTGCGAGTACCTTGGATGAGTACTCACGATTGCTTTGCTACCCCTTTCCCCCCTTCTTTCTTCTTTCTGGTTGATGCAACTAGATGGTGGATCCCTAGAGCCAGATGCCACCGCCGACGGATGCTACTATGTGGAGACCGCTGACGACCATGAGTAGTTAGTAGGTCCCAGGCAGGAGGCCTTGCCTCTTAGATCATTGTTGCTTTTGTGATGGCCTTCTTAAGGCAGTCTTGTTTGAGGCCCCTGGCTTGTAATATGAAGCTTGTATAATTTCAATTTCTGTCTAGAGTTGTGTTGTGATATCTTCCCATGAGTCCTTGATCTTGATCGTACACATTGTGTGTATGATTAGTGTATGGTTGAATCGGGGGCGTCACATTGTCCCGCAAGCTTGATGCCTCTGCTTCCCTCTTGATCATGTCCTTGACCTTCTTGTTTCCATCGGGCTTGTTCTTATTTCTTGGGCCATCACCATCATCATCATTATCATCCAACTTGGTGAGTGAACCTCTCTTTGGTGGGGATTCTTTGTCAATCAACTTCCACTTCTCACCATTTTGAAGAATTTCCCAACAATGCTCTAGTGTAAATGACTTGCGATTGAAAGCTTCCATATCCTTGTATCTTCCTTGTGCAATTTTGGGCTACAAAATGAAAACAATGTCAAAGTATGTCACATGCAACCACTCGCATAATCATTTGCACTACTTGGGATGTGAAAACAAACTCACATAATCGGCTTCGATACCACTTGGAGGTGCATTGCGGACTTGCTCCAAGCAACCACTCCAACGGCTACAAATCAGCTTGATCACATCCCAACAACTTTGGAGTGTCATGTAGGTGCGTGCCATCCTCGAGGGATACTTTGCCATCATTCGGAAGAACTAGTCCTCTATCCTTTGCCAACGCCGCTTGGCAGTTTGGTCGGTGTCGGTGCACGCATCAAGAGACACAGATTCCCAAGCCTTTATCAAGATTTGATCTTCCAGTTGCGTGTAGTTCTTTGATCTCGTGCGTACTTTTGCTTGCGCTTGGTTGAACACCCCCTCCCAATCACCTCCACCTCATCTTCTTGCTCACCGTGACCGTGCACACCACCATCCATCTCATTGTAGCTGTAATCTCCGATCGGGGCTTGCTCAATGTCGACGGCGTTGTTGTCAAATATGTGCACAAACTCAGCAGTTGAATCATGCAAATCAGCGCTACAATTTCGCTCCACAGGTCACAAACAGTCGTAGTGGAGAAAAGTAAAAACAACTAAAAGAAAAAAAAGCAAAGTTTCATACGTTGCGCCCATTCCGTTAGAACACGTCGGGGGCGGCGGCAACAACGTTGTCAGTGGGCATCCTCGGGGGAGCTCTTAGGGTGGCGATCAGAGAAGGTGGTGGCGCGGTGCTCGCATGACCTTTTGTGGCCGCCTTCTTGTGTTCCACCCCCGCCACCTTGTGCATCTTCATCGGCGGGGCGGGGTGGGGACAACCTGCACCGGATTCACGACGGCGGGCGGGCATGCCTTCCCGGCGGCGGTTGCGGGAGAGTTGACGACGATGTTGCCCTGGCGCTTGCGGGGATGGGCGATGGAGGCTTGAACATCGACGGGCGCGACACGGTCAACGACGAGATCTGCTCGAGGGGCTGGCACGTCCATGACTTCCACAGTGACGGGCGACGGCTGGGACGAGTCCATGGCGACGCTACAGAGCCGGGGAAGGTGCTCCGGAACGGGCGGAGGAAGAACAATGGCGGTGGACGGAAGGAAAAGCGGGAACTGCTGCGTGAAAATGTCTCGCTAGCGATAAGGGTCACCTTGGGTCGGCCTCCCGCCCCGTGTTTCTAAAGGTTGAGGGAAAGAATTTGTTGCGCCCGAATTTGTTTTAAATGCCGCAGCCGATACATATCTGTTTGGGTCATTTTTTTTACGCAAAATTGTAAATTAGCGGTTATGTTATAATTTCACGTGATACAAAAGATCTGCTAGAGATGCTCTTACACTTGCTCGTGTGTAAAAATGGCCCAAGCAGTTGTGTGGCCGAACCCAACAAGACAATACCCGCGCGCCCGATCCTTAGGGTTAGGGTTTTAGAAAACCCTGGCGTATGGACAAAACCACGCGAATCCAACGGCCCAGCCCACCCCAAATCGCCTCAATCCCCGACCCGACGCGTATCTCCGCGCCGTCTGCTATAAAATTCCCGCAGCTCCACATTGCCTCCCCCCGCAGCTGCCTCCCTTCTGCTCTACCCGCTTCTAACAAACGCACACGCTCCCTCTCGCTCTCGCGGCGCAGGTCGGAGGCTAAAACCCTAGAGACAGGCGACTATGACGGCGCCGGCGGACAAGGGGAAGAAGGCCAAGACCGACACCGACGTCGGCGAGGAGAACGAGCAGATCGACGGTGCCCTCGTCCTCTCCATCGAGAGGCTCCAGGAGATCCAGGACGAGCTCGAGAAGGTGAGCTGCCCCTCTCTGAGTTCTCGATCTATTTTGTTGCGTCGTCAGTGTTGGGGTGGATGCACAGCTGGATTTCTAAGTGGGTTTATTGGAGCGGGTGATTGCGTCGAATTCCGGAGTACGTAATTTAGTGGAGGGGTTGCTGATTACGGTTTGGTAGACTTCTCTGGTACTCGTTGCGTAGCTGTGCGGACTGGTAGTCGCAGCTGCGCGTGATTATTGCGGGCAGTACATGCTCAAAAGCTGTGATGTTGCCAATTTTGTCGTTCAAACCTATAGGAACCGACGAGTGTATTCTATCGCCTGATTCACGCGTAAACTTCTGGCAAGTGACAGTTTAAATTTTAGAGTATTTAAAGGTATGCCAAATTATTCAGGAGGTTTCATAGTGGACGTGCAATCCAAGGGTTTATGGGTAGGCGGTTTGAGGGTTTACATCAATCCAATAAACATTTTGAAATGCAAAAAACATCTAATGTATTATTCAAATTCAATTGCCTTACTCCTCTTTTGGTTCGTATGTCCTAACTTAGTCAGTAAGATAACTCTAATAACTTACTGGCGTCAAGTAGGTGTCAATTAGCAATTGAACTTCCGGGATGGAAGTGATTGCAGAAGTAAGTCTGGATTTTCATTTCTCCGCCCCATATTGGTTCCCGAGTGTGGTCTACCAGAACTGGATTTTAGACTGGCTACCACCCTCTGGCAAGGGAGCTGTTAGTAATGAGTTTGAATTGTTTTATCCAAATTTTGGATGTAAAGGTCAATTGTTACTGATAACTGGTTGAGTATAGATAGTGTGTATGTTGCTTTCCTTGATTTAGACATATCTAGACAAACACAAAGTGTCAATTTATGGTGCTTGCATTTTTGCTGTCTTGCTGCTATAGTATCTTGTCAAATACACCAAACAGAAAGATATCGACTGCGTTGTTTAGATGTTCTATTTGCTTCCCTGGCCAATTTTACTCACCAATTATTCCTTGACCAACTGTTATTCAATTTCGTCTGGTTGTTAGAAACATAGTATGCTCATATTGCCCACAATATATACAGCTTGTTCTATGATCTTCTGGGCTAGGTTATTGTATTCGGTTTCTGGCGTTAACCGGGCTGTTGCCACCAGGGCAATTAATCCCCATTATACCTATACGTACTTGACTGCAGTTTTTATTGGAGTAAAAATGAGAGTGGAAAATGAAAAAAGCATATCGTTCTGAGATATTGTGGAATTTGACTGAGTTAGACCTATAGTTTAACAGGAAGAATTGCTCAGATACCCGTGAGCCAGGCGCAGCATTGATATGATATCCCAAAGTGACTCCACTTTCACCTTCCATTTTTTATGGTCCTTCAAGTCCATTAGGAGATGTTGAGTTCATCCATACTTATATTTATAACTGTTCCTAGTTTCTTTTGTGTTTTAAAGTTAAGCTGTAATGTAAAACCTTCTTTGTACCTGCTTTTTTTTATGCCCAATGGGAAGTGGACAGGCTTATGTTAATTTAATCCATTGCTAACAGGTTAATGAAGAAGCAAGTGATAAGGTTTTGGAGGTTGAGCAGAAGTACAGTGAGATTCGCAGACCTGTCTATCTTCGGAGGTGTGACATCATCAAAACAATTCCAGACTTTTGGCTGACAGCGGTATGCAGACTGTTTATTACGCATGACAGCTTTGACGTTTGTTGCAGTTGCAAATCAACATGTTTACGTTTTTATGTATTTTGTTATGTGCTGCTTGCAGTTTCTAAGTCATCCTCTTCTCAGTGAGCTTTTGACTGAAGAGGATCAAAAGGTATTTTATTTCTTTGGTATGAAGCGGGTTTCTGTTTTATTTAAAATATTATGTAACATTTTATCTGTTATAATAGATGTTCAAGTACTTGGAATCTGTTGATGTTGATGATTCTAAAGATGTCAAGTCAGGCTACTCCATCACTCTTGTAAGTACCATTCCCTCTTGGGAATTGTGATGTCTTAATTGCATCACTTGTGTCTAGGGCGAAAGGAAGCAATAGAAACCAGATGCAACCGATAAAATGCTGTATTCCACAATGGCATAACCTATGCTTAATGGAGCTAGTGAAGAAAGGCGAATAATTGCCTTTTTCAGCCCGTTTCAAAGTCTATTGTTGATAAAGCGTTCAATCTTTCATCTTTATTATACTCATTATCTCCTTTTTGTTTTGAAATGCAGAACTTCTCTGAGAATCCGTACTTTGAAGACAGAAAGCTTACCAAGTCATATGCCTTTGCTGATGATGGAACAACCACAATAAATGCCACTTCCATTAAGTGGAAGGAGGGAATGGTGTTGTGTCCTCTCTCTTAAGTTATATATCTTAGCACTGACTTGGATGGAGAAAGTCTAATACTCTTATGTATATACAGGAAATTAATGGGAATGCCATTAAGAAGAAAGGAAGCAAGCGCCCATTGGTTGAAGAAAGGTTAGTTGCTTATCTTGCCATGATTGCTGCAGATGGATGGTGAAGTCGAAGTATTTGGTGCTATTCATTGGCACCATACTGTAGGATGTGTGATAAGCAACAGTAATAATCATTCACCACCATTTTAACATAATAATCAAATATACAGTTTTTCATGCTGTGACGATGTTCATTCTATAGCAGTTTGTGAAAAGCTAGTGGAACTGGGTTACTTTGGACCTTCGCTACTGAATGGTCATTAGCAATTGTGCAAGGTCTTCGTGAAAGTAGGAAATATAGAATATTATTGAAGTCAAATTGATGCTTTAAAAGATTTAAGTGTATAAAAATGCTGCAAGCATTTTGCACGCATATATGTGTGACCTGATTTCTTTCACTCCTATGAGCTTTTTATGGCCCACATGCTCATCTTCATCTTTTCCTTGGCATAAATTATAACTAAGTGTAATTATCTTCCATTTCTATTTGTCCTGCTGCTTCAAGTATGCTTGTGCTAAGAGCCTGAGACAGCCTGAGACAGATTTCCTGTGGCACCAAAATAATGTCTAGCTTTGTTAAGTATGTGAACCTTGTATTATGTTGCTTCCCCCGTACCGAAATATAAGACGTCTTTCCAGTTTAAATTGAGCTGCAAAAACGTCTTATAATTTGGTACAGAAGTAGTATTATAGCCCCCTATACTCTTGTACTAGTGCCCTACTGTATTAAGTTGTTCCTTCTGCGGTCTTATATTGACAAACGCCTGGTGAATTTCATAGATGTTGGGTCATTTAGAAAATACCTCCTATCTTATTCTGCCATATTCATTATAATTTTTATGGCATGACCATCTAGAAAAATGCTCAGGTAGTATGCTGTTGAACAACATTTTTTTGTTGTGAACCTTGTTGCATGTCTCATTTGTGATTTCTGAGAGGTTGGTAGGCAAGATCTGAAAAAAAAGCTTATATACTGTTTTTCTTGCAGTTTCTTCACCTGGTTCACTGATACAGAGCACAAGAGCCTTGCTGACGGGGTGCAAGATGAGGTAACAGAATTATTATTTCACTTGTCTGGCCTTTGCTAGTAAACTTGTAGTGTTTATTTATCCTGATGATTTGGCAATTTGCGTTATGAGCTCTCTGGTCTTGCAGACGCGTATGGGATATCTTATGATTTTTTAACTGTGCAGGTGGCAGAGATCATCAAAGAAGATTTGTGGCCGAACCCATTGAAATATTTCAACAATGTCAGTATTATGTTTGATTTGGTGCATAATTTTATTTTATTTCCTTGTATGCCTGGCCCTTAAAAGATCTCTTGTTGCAGGAGGTTGAAGAGTTTGAAGGAGATGACGAGGATGAAGAGGTAAGCTCTGTCTTTGCAGTTCAGCAAAGCAACTAGTGTTGAGTTTTAGTATTGGCCATACTCACACGGGTAGCTTATCCCTCTCCTTTTATGTTTGCAGGGATCTGATGGGGAGGATGCTGAGGAGGATGAGGACGAGGAGAACTGAGGCCTTGGTTGGCTTTGGTGGGTCCTGATGAATCGTTGTCTGCAGAGGCTGTGGGTGTCTGAAGGGTGTAGTCATGTGACCCTTTCGAGACTGTTTTGTTTTGTGTTTGACTTAGCTGGAACTTAGCCTTAGGAGCTGTTGAATGCGTTATCGAGTACGTACTGTCGTATTTTCGACTTAAAGGAGACCTCTATATATCATAATCTGGCGATATCTATGACAACAATTTAACTTGCTGATGACTCTGGTCGTTGTTGCAGCAATATGGTGTGCTTTTCCGATCTACTAGATCATTGACGGCGTGCGTTGCCGTGCCCGTCTATTTTTCCGATAGAATGATAGTCATGTTCACTCGTATATATTGGCAGGAAATATGTATGTTTATTTTATCCACCCCAGAAGAACATGCTGCTTATTTCCATAAGTGGCTATTTCTTCATGTTCATATCAGGATTGTTTCTACCAGCAAATCTAAAAGGAAAGGTTGCAAATCAGATTTATTTCAGATTATGTTCCTCAAATTGTGTTAACTGTTACAACTAATCCATGCTTTATAGCATAAGAAAGCATGTCTACATATGCAAGAACACGTCATTTATTTGCACATCAAACAAAAAAAATAATACAAATCAACACACATAAATAGCCAAAACAAGAATCCTGAGTATATGGGACTCGCCAAAGCTCCTCCAGTACATATAAGGTTTTATGAACTGCAGGTGGGGTGTAGAAAGCCCTTACTTGTAACGCTCCGGACACACCCGTCGGTGGTCTAGACTGGCCCTACAGATTAATACTAGTTTTTTCTGTGCACTTTGTCCTTACTCGTGCGCATCCGGGAGCAACTTTTCGGTCGAAATTACTAAGCTGAGCACGCTTAACTTTGGAGTTTTGTCTGAATGGGCTCCCGAAAAAGAAGAAATTCCTTATTGATATGAGTAGTATATCATCCCTAATAAGCTAGACTATTACATACACCCCCATTCAGAGAAACCGACGTCCTCGTCGGCCCACAGGAATGTTCCCTCTTGGCACATACGTCTGTGCATCCAGTCTGGTACATGTTCCATGCCGGGTGTCACGACGGGTCACAAACGTCATGAACAACATGACCGCGCACCTGTCCGCAAACATCCGTGTAACCGCGAGGGTCGGCTCTGATACCAACTTGTAACGCCCCGGACACACCCGCCGGTGGTCGTTACTCCTGGCGGGGTCTAGACCGGCCCCACAGATCAATACTAGTCTTCTCTGCGTACTTTGTCCTCACTCGTGCGCACCTGGAAGCAACTTCCCGGGCGGTTACCCATCTTGAAATTACTCCAAGCTGAGCACGCTTAATTTGGAGTTCTGTCCAAATGAGCTTCCGCAAAAGAAGAAATTCTGTATTGATATGAGTAATCTATCATCCCTAATAAGCTCATTTTACATTGGAGAACACCACACTACCCAAGGAGGGGATTTCCTAATATAAGTAAGAGAACACCATCTATCAATTGAGAATACTACATTGAGTATGATTATGGAACTGTCCTTATTACTATATCTTTGAAGTAGGGAAAATAAAACCTGTGTATCAAATGAGAATTGCCTAAATTGATTAGTCCCTCCCTTTCTAAATATAAGTCTTTTAAATGTTCTAATATGGACTACATACGGAGCAAAATGAGTGAATCTACACTCTAAAATACGTATATATTCCATATGTGGTCCATATTCAAATCTCTAAAAAGGCCTATATTTAGGAATGGATGGAGTAGTTTTCAGTGCATGTGCATGCATGTATGTGTCCATGATAATTATGATAACTCCCACATGCTAATGGTGGAGCAAAATTAGGTACCTACTTTAAAACATATAAGAATATATTGAGATATAGTTCGTAAAAAAAGTTAAGATAAATGACCACCATCATAGTTTTCTTTCAAAAGAACTTTACCTGATTTTATAAATTAGAGATACCTAAAGTAAACGCTGAAGATCGCAAACCAGCCACTTGATGTTGCGTAAAAAATTGAGTATCATTTGATAAAAAATATTAGCTTCTAATATGTAAGCTCCCCACATGCGATGTACAATCAGCCTCAAACGATCTCCCTGAGTGTCAAAAACGTGAGCACATAAGTCATCATTTATGCAATTATATACCTGTCATTGGGTTGTAGTTTTGGCAGCTCGAGGACATTTTTAATGAGGCATCTAATTGGCAGTTTAACAATTGATGGTTTTTCAAATCTATGTTTGAAGGTGGTGATACGTCGCACTACTCAACGAGAGGAATAGTGTAACACCCTCGATGTGGCTATATCTCCCACGTGTCGAAGCACGACTTGGAGGTATAACCGCATTGAAAGCAATGTCGCAAGTGAGGTAATTTTCACACAACCCATGTAATACATAAAGGAAAGAGACACATAGTTGACTTACAATCGCCACTTCACACAATACATGAATAAAGCATTACATCATCCAGATACAATCAAGGTCCGACTACGGAACCAAAATAAAAGAAGACTCCCAAAAGCTACACAGATCCCCGATCGTCCCAACTGGGCTCCACCACTGATCAAAAGGAAGAGAAACAACACAAAGGGCAAGATCTTCATCAAGTTCCTCCTTGAGCTTGGTTGCGTCACCTGCTCGATAACATCGGCACCTGCAAACTAGTTTTGGAAGTATCTGTGAGTCACGGGGACTCAGCAATCTCACACCCTCGCGATCAAAACTATTTAATCTTATAGGTAGGGTGAAAGGTATGAGGTGGAGCTGCAGCAAGCGACTAGCATAGTTGGTGGCTAACATACGCAAATGAGAGCGAGAAGAGAAGGCAAAGCACGTTCGAGAAACTATGATCAAGAAGTGATCCTAGAACAACCTACATCAAGCATTACTCTAACACCGTGTTCACTTCCCGGACTCCGCCGGAAAGAGACCATCACGGCCACACACACGTTTGATGAATTTTACTTAAGATAAGTTTCAGGTTTTCTACAACTGGACATTAACAAATTCCCATCTGCCCATAACCGCGGGCACGGCTTTCGAAAGTTTAAATCCCTGCAGGGGTGTCCCAACTTAGCCCATCACAAGCTCTCACGGTCAACGAAGGATATTCCTTCTCCCAAGACAATCCGATCAGACTCGGCATCCCGGTTACAAGACATCCTCGACAATGGTAAAACAAATCCAGCAAGACCACCCAGATGTGCCGACAAATCCCGATAGGAGCTGCACATATCTCGTTCTCAGGGCACACCGAATGAGCAAGACGTCAGGTGGGCCAGCCCAGAGTTGCCCCTGGTAGCTCCGGACATCGCTCAGTTTGGACCAACACTTAGACAGGCACTGGCCCGGGGAGGGGGGGTTAAAATAAAGATGACCCTTGGGCTGGCCTAACGCAAGGGAAAAAGAGCCTAGGTGGCGAATGGTAAAACCAATGTTGGGCCTTACTGGAGTCGTTTATTCAAGGAGAACTATCAAGGGGTTCCCATTATAACCCAACCGTGTAAGGAACGCAAAATCCGGGAACATAACACCGATATGACGAAAACTAGGGCGACAAGAGTGGAACAAAACACCAGGCATAAGGCCGAGCCTTCCACCCTTTACCAAGTATATAGATGCATTAAGTAAATAAGATATATTGTGATATCGCAACAAAATAACCATGTTCCAAACATGGAACAAGCTCCAAGCTTCACCTGCAACTAACAACGCTATAAGAGGGGTTGAGCAAAGCAGTAACATAGCCAAACAACGGTTTGCTAGGACAAGGTGGGTTAGAGGCTTGGCTTAACAATATGGGAGGCATGATAAGCAAGTGGTAGGTATCGCAGCATAGGCATAGCAAAAGAGCAAGCATCTAGCAAGTAAAGATAGAAGTGATTTCGAGGGTATGGTCATCTTGCCTGAAATCCCGCAAGGAAGAAGAACGAGTCCATGAAGAAGACAAACGGACGTAGTCGAACGGGTCCTCACAAACACGATGTTATCGGAACCAACCCGAAGAAGCAACACCGGAAAGAAACACACAACATAGTAAACAAACCACACATGGACATGGCATGATATGCGGGATGCGATATGTGATGCTTATGCATGATTTGAAAAGGAATGATTGAACCTGGCCTCAACTTGGAAATCCAAGAGTGCCACTGGAAAGGTGAGGTGATTTCGGTCGAAATCGATATAAAGATCGCCGGAATCAGATGCACGGTTTGGAAATGGCAAGCAAAACAAATATGACACCGGTCTGCGATTAACAGCAAGTAGCCATCTAAATGCAACAAGAACAACATGCTACTGCACCCAAACATAGCAACAAAATACATGATAGGGATCCACTCAAGATGCTTAACAAAAGATGAACACTGAGCTACGGCTAATTCACTCAATAGCAGGTTCAAACAAGCATGACAAAAGTGCAAATGATAACAGGTTTCAGACTTAGTGAAATAAACATGTCAGGAATTAATCATCAGGAAGCAATGTTTAGAGCACGATAACTATATGCTACAGGAATATATCATGGCAAGACAAGGCATGGCATGAAGCTACTCAAAGCATATAACAAAAGTCCCTTAGTGACCATGAGCCAAAAGAGATCATAAAATACAATTGCAAGCATGTGAACATAACAAAAATATAAACAGATTCAGACTTGGTAAAAAACTGGAGCATGCAAAACAGTTAACAAGTAGGCATGTTTACGAGCTCGATGCACTCACTACAAAGCATGGAATGATACTCTAAGCATACACCCAGCAAGTAGACATGTCATAGAAGCTAGACATGGCAAGAACAACAACATATCATGCATGGATCAACAACAACAAGCTCGGCAAAATTGCTAAACATGTTAACAATCTGCCAGGAACATTTTATAGCAAAAGTAGAGCTCGATTGACTCAAGCTAGGGTTCTCCATAATTGCAAACAAAGACATGAATGGATAGAGCACAACATTAGATACAAAACATCCTTACTGATCATGCTCAAAAT